TCTTAAACTATTGTAGTAGTGAGGTCTGTGTATAAATAACATGTATCTAGCCCTGGAGATCCTTTTCTTTCTTTTTAAAATTTGTATTTTTAATTTCTGGAATAAAACCAGCATTTCCATAACATGGTACAATAGAAAAAAATGATTGCTTATGAAACTGCAAATCTATTATGCACAACTTGCTATTCCTTTGAAATATACAAAAAAATTGTCATGTAAATTTCTTTTTTTTTCCCTCCCCTCCGATTCCCCCCTCCCAAGGCTACCATTAGACCCAAATAGGTATATATATGTAAACTTATTCTATATATACTTCTATTTATCAGTTTTTTCTCTGGATGTAGATAAGCCTTTTTCTTCAAATGTCCTTTATAGAGCCATAGAGTTCTTAAAGCAATATTGCTGTTATTATATACAATTCTCTTGGTTCTGCTCATTTTGCTCTTCCTTATTTTATGTAAATCCTTCCATGTTTTTCTGAAATCATTGAGCTCATCATTTTTATAGTGTAGTAGTATTTCATCACAACCATATACCATAACTTGTTTAGCCATTTCTCAATTAATGGACATCCCTGCAATTTCTGGTTCTTTGACACCATGAAAAGAGTTGCTGTAAACATTTTAGAATATATCTGTCCTTTTCCTTTTTCCCTAATTATCTTCAGAAATAGACCACATAGTGGTATTTCTGGGTCAAAGGGTATAAGTAGTTTTATAACTCTTTGGGCAAAATTCCAGATTGCTCTCCAAAGTGGTTGGGTCATTTCACAATTCCACCAACAATGAATTAGTGTCCCAATTTTTCCATGTCCTCTCCAACATTTGTCACTTTTCCCTTCTATCATTTTAGCCAATCTAGTAGGTGTAAAATGATGTCTCAAGGTTGTTTTAATTTGCATTTCTCTAATCAATATGATTTAGAGCATTTTTTCATATAGCTATAAATTGTTTTTACTTCTTCATTGGAAAATTGCCTGTTTATATCTGTTGACCATTTATTGAGGAATGACTTATAGATTTGACAAAGTATTTTAGATATGAGATCTTTATCTGATAAACTGTCTATACATTTTCTCCAAGTTTTTTGCTTTCTTCTGATCATGGCTACATTTGTTTTATTTGTACAAAATCTTTTTAATTTCATGTAATCAGAATTATTAATTTTACACCCAACTTTGCTCTCTGTCTCTTGTTTAGTTATAAATTGTTCGCCATTCCATGTGTCTGATAAATAACATGTTCCATGTTCTTCTAATTTTCTTGTAAAATCTTTCTTTGTGTCTAGGTCATGTATCCATTTTGACCTTATTTTGGTTAATAGTGTAAGATATTGGTCTATGCCCAGTTATTTTTACTCACTGTTTTCCTTCTCAGCCTCTTTTCACCCTTAGCCTCTCATTCCTTATTTTACGCACCCCTCTAAAAGTCTCTCCCTTATCAATTATTACCTTATCTATTTACCTTACTCTTCCAATCTATATACCCTTCCAAAAGTCCCTCTCCTACCCTATCCCCCAGTTTTCTCACCTCTCTAGAAGTTCAGGAGGCTTCTAAAACTCTTCAGATGTATAAGTTCTTTCCTTTTCAACCCCATGAGAGTAAGGTTCCAATATTGCCAACCCTTCACCCCCACCTGCTTCCTCTGTATTAGTTCTTCCTTTCAAGCCCCATGTTCATGAGATAATTTCTCCTTTCAACTTTTCCTACCCAATTTTGTTATATAGAATTACCTCATCATACACAACTCAGCCCGAACCTTTCTTTCAAACTAATTTAATAATGATAAGTTTTAGGAATACTATTAGTAACAACAATAACTAATAATTACTAAATTTCATGTTTCTTCTGGATCTTTTATATCAAATTTTCCATTGAGTTTTGGTATTTTTGTTGCAGATACCTAAAAGTCTTTCAGTTCATAGTATGTCCATTTTTTTTTGTTTACTGGCTAGATTTCTTTCTCAAAGACAAAGTTCACTCTGGATCTCTTGGATTGAACCACAATAGGTCCCTGCCAATCACCTCTCAGTGGTTATGTTTTGGGCCCTCCAGGCTCAGAGTGAATGTAAGTAGTAACTGTTTCTTTTTTGGCCAGCAACCCTGAGGGTCTTCCTCTCCCAGTTTGATTTTTTTTTTATTTATAGGGGTGATCCCAATGGGGGTTGCCTCACTCAAAGTAAGAACCTGAAAAGACCTTAGCTTAAAAGGGCCAAGGTCTCCCACTGCATCCCGTGCCATCTCTAGTCAACCTGATAGACATTTGGCCACTGAACCCAGATGGCTCTGGAGGAGGAAGTGAGGCTGGTGACTGCACAGCCCTCCCTCACTCAAATCAAAGTCAATTACAAGTCATGTCATTATCTCCCTGATGTCATGGTCCTCTTCGAGAATGAAGAACAAACCACACATACAACCATACATTCAGCATTATACTTGACTTTGCTGAGTAAGTTATTCTTGAATGTAACCCCAGCTCCTTTGCTCTTAGAGAGATCATGTTCCAAGATCTATGGTCGTTTAGTATAGAAGCTGCTAGGTCTTATGAAATCCTGATTGTTTTTCCACAGTATTTAAATTGATTTTTTTTTCTTGTTGCTTGCAATATTTTCTCTTTAACCTGGGAATTTTGAAACTTGGCTATGACATTCCTGTAAGTTTTCTTCCTAGGATCTCTTTCAGGTTGTGATCAGTGGATTCTTTCTATTTCTACTTTACCTTTTTGTTCTGGAACTTTAGGGCAATTTTTCTTAATAATTTTTGGTAATATTGTATCCATATTCTTTTTTTGATCATAACTTTCAGGTAGTCTGACAACAATTCTTATGTTGTTTCTTCTTGATGTGTTCTCTAGATTAGTTTTTCCAATGAGATATTTCAGATTCTCTTCTGTTTTTTCTAGTTTTATTTTATCTTGGTGTCTTATAACATCATTCTGTTGTACTTGCCCAATTAAGTTTTTCCTGGAGTTATTTTCTTCTTCTTTTTCTTTTCTTTCTTTTTTTTTTTTTGGTTGAGGGCAATTTGGGTTAAGTGACTTGCCCAGAGTCACATAGCTAGTGAGTGTTATGTGTCTGGGGCTGGATTTGAACTCAGGTCTTCCTGACTCTAGGGCCAGTGCTCAATCCACTGCACCACCTAGTGCCCCGAGTTATTTTCTTCTTTAGGATTTTGTATATCTTTTTCTAATTAGTTAACTTTCTTTTCATAATTTCCTTGTTCTTATTTGATTTTTGAATTCCTTTTTATTTTCTTCATTATGATTTTGTATCTCTTTTCCAATTGGTTAACTTTCTTTTCATAATTTTCTTGAATTGCTTTTATTTCTTTCCTAGTTTTTCCTCATTTTCTCTTATTTGATTTTTGAATTCCTTTTTAAGTTCTTCCAACATTTCTCTTTGGGGCTTGTGACCATTTGACATACTCTTTAGAGTAGGAGTGGCTTTTGTAAACTCACTATCTTCCTTTAAATATGAACCCAGATCTTCTTTTATATAAAAGTAGCTATCAGTGGTCAGGTTCATTTTCCTTTGATTACTCAATTTTATTTTTAATTTGTCTTATTTTATTTTTAGCAGCTTAATATTATTATTATCAGGTTTTAGTCCCAAGTTGTAGGTAATGTTGCTTTAGGCCTGAAGTCCTTCTTACTGTTGTTTTCTGAATTCTGTCTGGGATCTCAACCTCAGGTGACTCCTGTCTTCCTCCTCTAAGTCCCAGCCATGCTGTCCCAAAAAAGTTCTTACTCTCTGTGGGGTCAGTACTTCTAGGTCTGAATTCTGGGTGGTGACTCTTTTTGTATATTCATTAAAGTTCTGGCTTTGCAACTCTGAGTCAACAGTTCTGAATTCTATATCCCTTTAGAGAACTTTTTCATTATCACATAGTACCAGGCACTCAGATCCTCCCAAGCTTCCATTTTGTCTCAGACTGAAACCTACCGGGGAATCTTTGTACACACTTTAAGGACTGGTCTCTACAAGCCAGTTTTTCCTACATACACTAATTTTACAACACAGTTTTACAACCAAGAAAATTTTGGTAAGGATGCTTAGTAAGGACACTATTTGCCGAAATAGTATACTCAGTCAACCAGTAGTATTAGCTAAAGGTTATACAAGTTTAAGGTTGTTAGTGAGGGTTATAAGTTATTAAACACTAGAAAGAGGAGTAAAAGTTTGCTTAGGTAGATTATTAATGTTAATGAACCTAAGTATAATAGTTAGGCAGGAGTGAAGTTTTCAGTCTGTGTGACCAAGATAAAGTCCAAAACTTCAAACATTAAGGCTATTAGGTTAACACAGCAAATTTCTCTGGAACCTGAGGTCTCAGAAGCAAGAGGTCTTGATCCATATTGGTTAATGGTTGCCTGATGAGCCTCTACATGAGCCCGTATTGATTTCTTACAGGACTTTTATCAGTATCATATGTAAGGTGATCCTTTCCTCTTTCTTATCACTGCTGCTATTGTCCTTTCAAAACTGAGCTGTTCTCATGCTCCTATTCTGGGTAATCTGACATTAGGCAGATTGGTATTCATTTTATAATAAAAACAAATGTCTTTCTGAAAAGAAAAAAATGAAGAAAGGAAAGACTCATTTTTTCATTTATTAATGTTTCTGCTTTATACTAGTTTCAAATTAATGAAATGTTGTAGTCAAAGGAATTTCGTCCTATAAAGGCCAATTAGATGCTAAGAAAGAGCCAATCCCAGAGAAAGACCTTAAAACACTGTCAATATTCTGAAAGCTTTTTGCTTAATTTAAAATTCTTACTTTTAAAATAATATTTTATTACTTTGAATATATTCACTTAAACTTATTTCTGTATCTTATCTTTTTTGTGTACTTTGTTTATGTGTTATTTAACTATGATGAGAATTGTGATAACAGTGTGTATGTGTATCATTATTAAATAAGTTTTCAAAGGTTTGACACTGAATGGAAAAGTTATTTAGTATTTTCTTGAGAGTGCAATATTAACAAATGTTTTATTTCTTAGATCACTGAATTAGCAGGCTATACTGCTCGAGTGTACAATATGTTTTGGGTCTTTGATGAAGTAAACAAAGGAATTTACAAGAGAACTGCTATTCAAGAGACTGAAAATTCTGTCAGGATTGGAGATAAAATAGAATTATCTTTCAGTGCACCTTAGAAATCAAAGGTACTAAATAAAATTTTAAACATTTCTTTATATTAAAATATTTCATTATTTATCAAAAATGTTTCTTATACCAGACTTATGCTAGGGCCTTTAACCAGATATAATAAACGTACCTTTCCAAAATTAATAGTTGCTGAAACAGCTGAACTTTAAATCAGCTATTGTTCAATCTAATGTTAAAATTTCAGGAACTGTGCCTAGTTAAATATCTGTATTATTGTTCTTTGACCTGTTGCAAAATTATCAGAGACATCTTTGCGAACTACACAAGTGACAGAAAGAGTTGTTTAAAATTTTAATTCATATTTCCTGGTGGCTTAGCACTAATGTCATGATATTTTAACTTAAAAGATATATTATGGTATTGCATAGTTGTTGTTTAGTCATTTCGGTCATGTCTGACTCTTCATGACCCCATTTTGGGTTTTCTTGGCAAAGATACTGGGGTGGCTTGACATTTCCTTCTCTAACTTATTTTACAGATGAGGAAACTGTCAACCAAGGTTAAGTAACTTTCCCAGGGTCATACATAGTGTCTGAGGCCAGATTTGAACTCAGGAAGATGAATCTTCCTGAGTCCAGGCCCAGCACTATCCACACTGCCAGCTAGCTACCTGTTGTCATGCTTTTTTACCCAAGCTATATATTTTTTCAAAATAAAGTAGTTTGAATGTGTACTTTCACATAATGATCTTTATTTCAATTGTTCAGTTTTCTTACTTCTACATTTTTCATTACATGATTTAAAAAAACCCTTTAATGTTACCCTTTTATGTAGTATTGTTGTCCAGAAGAAAAACAACAGAAGAAAAAAATTTTAGGTAAAGTAATAGAACAGATATAATAAAGTCTACTTAAAAAACTATTCCTTTTAAATTTTAAATAAATTTTAAAAATTATAAACAACTTACTTGAATAATCTGTCTGACCATATTTGCCAAAATGTCCAAATTCACACTTGACCCGGCTCCAGATATTGACCTTTGATAATTGCTTTTGTGACTTCAGGAATTCTTTTTGGAAATTAACTGATTTTTATAAAGATACTATATATTATTATTTATATATCAAATTGGTTGATCAAGTGATGCTTTTCAAACTTTTTAATTTTCTTTAACTTATAGGAAAAGTTATCGATGTTGATCATGGAATTATTTGTGAAAATGTTCCTATTATAACACCAGCTGGAGAAGTGGTGGTTTCCAGGCTAAACTTCAAAGTAAGATAATATTCAAGAATCTTGTAACTTGAAATCACACTAGTACAAGCCATCTCAGAATTCATGTACCTTCTGTTAATTGTTTGAAGAAACAGATGTAAAGGAGGGGAAATGAAAAAGGTAGTGGCTCAATTATAGATAGGAACAGATAAATGCAATTTCTCCTACTGAAAACAGTAAAGAGAAATATTTGATTTCCAATCCTATATTTTTAGATTGAAAGTCAAATCAGGAGACGGGAGCAATAGGACATTTCCTTAAAAATGAATATTTGAACATAAGATGTTATTTATTCCATTTTCCTGTGTGAATTACTCTAAAATATAAGCCTATATTGTAATATCATCATGGCTGAAATATGCTGGTAATTTTCATTTACAAGTTTTATCCTAAAATATAGCATGATTACCACTTTATATAACAGTGGCTAATATCAGAAAAGACTAATCAGAAAATCATGAAGTTGAATTTGCTCTATACTTCTTGTAATCTTATAATATTGAAAGATTATTAATTTAAGATTTTAGGTCTTTGTTGTTAAATCATATAAAGGTATTTGACAGACTGTTTTGAAATAATGTAAAAGTAAAAATACATGGAATTCTAGTGTCATAATAACCTGTGATTATTAATTAGTGAAGGCAGATGAATTTAATTCAAATCTTAAAAATGACTAGAATTGACAACAGAAATGCAAACAAAGATAAATGTACTGATTTTTATATTCTAAAAGTTATGACAAGAAGTATATCTGGGTCTAGAAAACAGCAAAGGGAAGAAATGGAAGTACTCAAAAGAAGGATAAGCAAAATTAGTAAATTTAATGGAAATTATGTATTCCTCTTACAACTTTAGGAAGTTGTATATCTTTATTTTTTATAGTGTGAAATATGGGAATTTGCCTTATATTCAGTGCTACCTTTATGTGGGCCTATAATTAGGTTTTAGAAAATGATTCGAAGAGAAGGCCTAAATATGAAATATGTTAAGGAAACATAATGATCTTCACATTATATAAGTTGTATACTGTAAAGTTGTATACTTTAAAAAAAATCATGCCTTTGATTTCATTGAATAGGGAATTAATGAAGACTTAGCAGTTCATGCTCTACAATATATAGTCTTAAGAGTTACTTGAAGCATTAAGACTTGCACAGGGTCACAGAGCCAGGACATGTCAGAAGTAGGACTTAAACCAAATTTTTCTTAATTCTGAGGCCTTATATCTGCCTACTACAGAGCAGCCTCTGGTAAATAGAGTGTATTTTAATTATTTACCATTAGTTAAACTACTTATAATCTTTCTATCCTTCATGTACTATTTCTTTTCAGATCTGGTAAACCAGGATAAACTGTTGATGTTTCTATTTATTAAAATTAACAAGGTTCTTGAATTCCTCCTTATTTATCTGATTTTTAAAAATAACCCAGAGTGACACAAATTTAAATTCTGAGTTTTCTCAGTAAAAGAGGTCAGAAAATTCCCCCTTATTCTTAGTTCCTTCCCTCTGAAATTACCCCCCAGATTTTCCTGTATGTACATTTATCCTATAAATGTCTTGTTTGTAGATAGCTGTTTGTGTATTGTCAGTAGACCATGAGCTCCTTGAGAGGAGAGACTTTTTTTGTCTTTCTTTGCATTCCTAACTCTTTGCGCACTACCTCATACACAGAAGAGATAATAAATGCTAGGATAGTGCTGTTTGATGACTCTCTATTCATTGCAGAGTAGCTCACAGTGAGGGCCTTCAGCAAGCTCAGGGACTATTTAGGAAATATGAACACCTACACATACAATTTGACTTCATTCTCTCTACTAATAATAACTAATATTTACTTAGCATTTAAGATTTGTATACAAATGTATGTGTATATGTGACATCTCATTTAAGAACATATATATAGAATGTATGTATACGTACATATGAATCTCACTTTAGAACATATATAATACGATATTCTATATATAGATATTCTACATATATGTGTGTATATACATGTGTGTGTGTATATATATATATATATATATATATGTAACAGCAGAATAATAGTATAGCTATTATCTCCATTTTACAGTTAAAGAAACTAAGGCTGCAGTCTTGCGGCAGTCACACAGCAAGTAAGTGTGTGAGGCAAGATTTTAACTCGTCTTCCTGACTCCCAAGTCCAGTTTCTGCCCATTATACTCTCTAGCTGCCTCTAGGTATTCTTTGTATGAGTACACAAAGAAGAATTGAAGGTTATTTCCTTTCCCTTATATTCTTTTAAGTCTGTGCTGTGAAATAAACTTCAGTTTGGTTATACTTTAAAAAAATCTGTAATCAGAATTTACTAAGAGCAATTAAAATCAGTGACATGTAAACATGACTTTAGTTTTCTTAGATAAAAAGCCAACCTCAGCTGATGGAGTAGAAAGGACTATGGATATGAAATCAGAGGACCTGGGTTTGAATGCTGCTTTGGCAATTAGCTACCTTTTGTATTGAGAATACCAGAATCAGAGTCTAAAGAGGAACTTGTGTTTGAGCACTGGCTATGAAACTTTATGTGGCCTTGGGATAGTCACTTAACCTCTGTCATCCTCAGTTTCCTTATTTGCAAAATCAGGATAATAGTAAGTATTATTTAACTCACTTTGTAAACCTCTAATTGGGGCTGTATGTGTTATTTTATTATCCATATTACATGATCTTGAACGAAACCTCTCTCAGTCTGATTTTATTCACCTGTAAAATGAAGGGATCAGACCAAATGACCTCCAAAATTGATTCTGGATATAAAACCTGTGATGCACTATGTTTGTTATCATATTCGCGGTTGCTTAATGTAGTGCTATATAACTTGTGGGTTAATGTATTTGAAAATTGGGTACATTTGCCCAATATAGCTACACTAAGCCCAGTTGTCTAGAGACAGAAATACTATGGGTTTATTCCTTGCATACTTTTTCATATTCTTTTCATATATAACATTCGTTTTTTACATGTTGGATTGTAAGGAGCCATTAGACCTTAGTAGAAATACAGTTTCAGTAGGGTTCTCATATCTTATTCTTCAGAGGGTCTAATAATTTCAAGAAGTACTTTACTATGCCAGTGGAAACTAGTTCTTTGTATGAGGTTGCAAAGATATGTCCTACCTTCAGTACTATATATGAAGTAATTAGATGTCACATTGGGTGGAGTGGTAGACCTGAAGTCAGATATACCATAGTGCAAATCTGGCCTCAAATGTTTACTAGCTATGTAACGCTGGGCAAGATACACCTCTGTCTGCCTCAGTTTCTTCATCTATAAAATTTAACGTTAAAATGAAATAATATTTTGATGTGCTTTGAAAACATTAAAATATTATATAAATGCTATTATTATCATCATCATCACTTGTAGTACTATAATTTAAAACTTGCTTTTTCTGCATCAAAGAGAGGGCTTCTTGATCTCTTAAAGAACTATAGTCATTGATAAAAATGAATTGATTAAATTTTAATTTGAAAGCAAACTATGGTTTGAACTGCATGGGATTTCTTGTTGAGCATGTAAAGGTATAAACACATACATGCATATAATTCATAGTATTAAAAAGATTGCAGTTTATAATTTTCATCCTATTTTAGCTACAAGAAAGAATACATCTTCTGATAGATAGACAGAGTCTTGGAAGTTCGAGGTGTCTCTAGTCTATTATATAAAGGCAATTCATTAATATTTGGATGAATATACAGGAACCATGGAGATAAATGGAGATTCACTTTTGATGTAAGAAAAAAATTCTTAACAATTAGAAAAATGGAGATATATCTTCAGAATACTCAGTGTTCTAGGCAACTCTTTTAAGTTGTAGAAATAGTACTGACCTACTTTGGTAGATGGAGTTTCCTTTGCAGGTAGTTCTCTATACTCATGAAATTAGATAAGCAACACTTATCAAGCATGTGCTATGTACCAAGCATTGTGCTAAGTGATGGGGATAAAGAGAAAGGCAAAGCCCCTGCCCTCAGTGAATATATATTCTAATGGAGAAGACAACATGTAAATAGCTAGATGCATCCAAGATATATAGAATGTTGTTTAGTCATTTCCATTTGAGGGTGACAAAGGCAATCGAGTGGTTTGCCATTTTCTTTGCACAGAAGATGAGGAAATTGAGGCAAACAGGTTTAAGCAACTTATCCAGGGTTACTCAATGACGTTTTCCTGACTCCAGGCGCCACCTAGCTGCCTTGTATGTAAAGAGTAGATAGCAGATAATCTGAAAGGGAAAGGTATTAACAGCCGAGATTTGGAAAGGTCTCCTGCAGAAGTTGGAATTTTAATAGTTTTGGAGGGAGGCAGGGAGACCAAGAGGTATGGGTGAAGGAGTAGAGAATTCTAGGAATGGAGATCAGATTGTTCTTGAGAAAATTGAAATAACTATCATTGGCTTTCAAATGAAAGTTGTCAACTGATGTTTTAAAATACAATTTATATTTTATATATAACATAAATTTTTATATTTATATATTAAATATATTACATGTGATTTATTTCTATATTACATGAAACATAAAGTATAAATATATTTTTATGTAATATAAAAATATAAAATTGTTATAATTATTTTTAAAATGTTTTTAGCCAGACTGGCAGCATGGTATAGTGGATTAGACAGCGAACCTGTGAGTCAAGAAGATGTATGTTAAAGTCCTGTCTTTGACAAATGCAGGCTTTTAAACCCTGAGTAAGTCATTTAGCCTGTAGGTATCCCAAGAGACCTCACTTTGTTGGTCTGCATTTCTAGATAGAATTTCCTAACCAAGATATACACCAATGAAATCATAAGTCCAGTAAAAAAAGCAGTAACTTATTTTTAATATTTACTTTAAAATTATTTTCCAAGTAGTTATCTCTCTATATGTACAATCCATATCAAATGTGAAAGGAGTACACTTATTAATTAAGTACCTTAAATTTTGATGAGCCAGAATCAGAGCCTATTTTTATTATCATTTTCTTTGGAATTTTTTTCAAGGTGCTTGATTCCCAGAGCCTAGTAGAAGACCTGATTTAATATCATCAGCCATGATAAATGCTTTCCTTTGTTTCATGGAACGTATTTGGTGTGCCAGCACTTAACACAGGGCCTGGCATGTGCATTTGACAACATGCATTTAATAAATGTTTCTTGATTATTTTATCATGGCTTTCCAGGGTCATTATGTGTGTACAGATAGGATGTCTAGCACAATACCTTGCGCAGAATTGGAAGGGACCTTTAAAGGCCAACTAGTCCAACCAATATCTGTACAAGAATGCTCTCTCCAACATACCTGACAAGTCATCTCCTTGCCTTTGCTTGTAGGGGAACTCACTGCCTCCCAAGGCAGTCCATTCCACTTTTGTACAGCTCTAATTGTTCAAGGGTTTTTCCTTCTATCAAGCCTAAATTTTCCTCTATGTAACTTTCACCCATTACTCCCAGATCACATGGTTTTAAATGTTTTTGAATGAATTATATGCTTGATACGGCACTAAATGTTTTGAAAGAAAAACTTATTTAGAAATCTCCTAGGCTAATACACTCATAGGTTAAAATTGCAGTTTATCATTTTCAATTATTTTAGGTACAAGAAGGAATGCATCTTCTGATAACTGGTCCCAATGGTTGTGGCAAAAGTTCTCTCTTCAGGATTTTAAGTGGGCTGTGGCCTGTGTATGAAGGAGTCCTCTATAAACCCCCACCTCAGAATATGTTCTATATTCCACAAAGGTATGTGCTTCTCTTTAGTCCATAAAGAGCTTTAAAATTTCCTGTTAAAATCAACTAGGATCAATTTTCTATTTCCCTTAATTTTTTTTCTGATTTCCTGGGTTGGGGAAGAAATGAATATAATTTAAATAACTCAATGACTATTTTGATTAAAATTGTATCTGATTCAATCAAATGACTTTTCATTCTCATGTAGCTCTAGATGATAGAGAATTACTCAAAAACACAAGTTATTGATTTCATAGCAGGACAGTTTATTCCAAAGGAAAATTAGATTGCCTGAAGAGAAATGGAGAGTCTATTTTCCCATCATTGATTCAGATATCTGAATAAAATTACTGGCCATTTAGTATTAATTGTTTTTGGCCATATAAGCTCCATATTGCTTGTCTGCCTTGATGGAGGGAGTGTCCATACAACTGAAATCACTAGAACTGCGTGAAATAATTTCAGTGGCAATGGACTTCCTTGCTAATTTATCTCTGATCTTACTACAAAATGTTTCTATTAGAAGCAAACATTTCTTCTAAGTAGGGCTTGTTTGAGTCTTTGTTTTTCTATCCCCTGAACTTAGCATGGTGTAGGTAGCATGGTTTAGCACATAGTAGGTGCTTAATAAATACTTGTTAATTGATTGATGTTTTCATTAAATTAATACTAGTTCTTGGTCTTTTATAATTACTGTTCATTAGAATAAGGAAAGTTTCATTTATTCCTCTCCTTTTTTGTGTTTTTGCATACATAAAGGCTATTCGTTTTTTCATCGCTTAATACAATCATGTAGTTTTCATTTTTGTTATTAATTTAGTCTATTATTTTTATGGGCAGTTAGGTGGTATAGTGGATAGAGTGCTTGGCCTGGAGTCAGGAAGATTTATTTTCCTGAGTTCAAATCTGGTCTCAGACAGTTACTAGCTATGTGGCCCTGGGCAAGTCACTTAACCCTGTTTGCCTCAGTTTCCTCATGTGTAAAATGAGGTAGAGAAGGAGATGGCAAACCACTCTAGTATCTTTGCCAAGAAAACCCCGAATGAGGTCATGAAGAGTCAGACACAACTGAAATGACCGAACAACAACAATTATTTTTATTTTCCTGATACTGAACCATCCCTAAATCCAACCTAATCATGGTGAATGATCTTTTAAATATATTGTTGTAACCTCTTTGCCCATATTGTTTCAATATTTTTACATTCATTAGTGAGTATGTACTATAGACTTAATGTCTCAACCTTCATTTTCTCTGTAAAATAGGAAAATTAATAGCATCTATCTCACAGAATGCACTGCACACACTGTACACTGATCTACACTGTTGTGTAGATCAAAGATACTATGTATCTCATTCACATGCTTTTTTAAGATGTAATGAAATCTGTTTTGCAAACAAGCAGTAAGTATTACATAAATGTTACTTATAATTGTTATGAAAGAGAGTATTGAAATAATTTTTGTGGTGGGAATGAGTAAAACTATTGTGAGAAGAAGAATCCAGTGGGTATTCTCTATCGTCACCATCTGGAAAGTTTATGTGGGAAGCAAAAGACAGGTTGCAAGAGGTAGATAGAAGGGAAGAGAGTATCCTCGTATACATAAATTACAGGAATACTACGTGCCTCTTAAACCTTTAAAAGCTATGATGAAAATCAGGAGCAATACTATGTCATGTGACTAATTTGCTCTGCCATGCTTGTTAGGCCACTCTTAAGAAGTTTGGAGTGAAGCTCTTCTCTGTCCTCTCATTAAAGCTGTGATAGATGTCAGAAGTGACATGACAAGTAGGAAGAAGATGGAAGAAAATAACACTAAGGATTTGGGGGCAGGAGAAAGCCATATCACATATGGGCACAACATAGATAATAACTGTTTTTAAACAGAGTCATTTTCCTTTCCATTCAATTCCATTAAAGTGCTTTGGGAAAGTTTCTAATTATGATGTATTGGCAAAGTATTATATTTCAGAAAATAAATTTTTTCTTAGATAAAACCCACAGAATATGACAAGTGTAATGTTTGATTTTAAATTTTATGTTTTTCAAAAGTTATGAGATCATGAAAGAAAACAGCATAAAATGTACAGGTAAGTTCTTTCTAGAAAATGAAAATATGAAATCCATCATTTTCCCTCTGAAAGCTGTAATTTTTCAGCAAATCAAAGCTACAGGGATCTTTTTCTTGGTTTAATATGATTACCTTTTCCCAAGTTGAAAGATTAATCATAAATGCATAAATAACAATTTAGGTAAAATACAAATATTATTTAACAAGAAGTCTATTTCCATCCAAACAAAATATCTCCAATAATTATTTTTAAAACCATCCAAATTTTAATTGCATGTGTTCTTCAGCCTTTAAAAATTTGTACATTTTTCTTACCAAATACATTTTTCTTACCAAAAATTCAGTATTTGGGATAAACATAGTATTCAAGTAAAAAATATAGCATTTTTTAGTGGATTGCCAAGTCAGTATCCATCAGCAGTGTGATGTGGCACTTCCCCAAACTAAAATCTTTGTTGAGCTGCAATTGTAGAAACATAGCTTCCAAGTATACGAAAAATGATAATTGTTTGACATACTGCATTCACAAGACATCATCTGGAGTGCTGTTTTCAGTTCTGGGCATCACAGTTTAAGAAAGAGATTAACAGGCCATAGAAATTCCAGAAGAGGGCAGTTGGGCTGGGGAAGAGTCTCAATTTCATGTCTTAGGAATTGAGATTTTTTTTTTTTTAGCCTGAAGAAGAGATTTGGGGAGTGTGGGAAGAGGGGCAGCAGATGTTATAACTATGTTCAAGCATTTCTAGGGTTTTTGTGTAGTAGAAGGATTAGATTTGTTCTGTTTGGCTCAGGAAGGCACATGAGCCATAACCCCCATTACAGAAGTAAGAACCAGAGAGATTAAGTGATGTTCCTAAGGTCATACAATTAGTATGTTGGTAAAGCTAGAATTAGAATTCTATCTCCAGACTCCCAGTCCAAACTCCTTCTATATTATATACATATTATAGTATATAATTCTTTCCATACAGCACCTCATACCTTTCCAGGCATACCTCATACAAACTACATGTGAATAGCTATCAGAATTAAATTGGAGCATGGAGGATCAAGTTATTGCATATGAATTAAATGAAATTTTATTGTTCTGTAAGAAATGATAAAATATATAGATTCAGAGAAACTTAGTTAACAAGTCAGTCAGTAAACATTTATTAAGTACCTGTTACATGCCTAGGAAGATGTATATGACTGATGGTGAGTGAAGTGAGTAGAGCCTGGAGAACATTTTAAACAAAGATTACAAAGATATAAGGAAAGCAAATTTTAAAGGCATAAGTACAATGACCAGTCATGACTTTAGAAGACTGATAATGAAGCATACTTCCCACTTCCTAGATAAGAGGTGATGCATGGTCAGTATAAATTTGTTTTGCTTAAGAATATTTATTTGTTATAAGGGAAGGCTTTTATTGAGGAGAAGGAGGAATTGTAGGGGAGTGAGTGTGCAATGATAGTGACATTGACATCATATCTGGATGAGTGAGGCTAGAATGGTGATGGAAAGAAGATTGTCTGTGAAGTCAGAGGACCTGGGTTGAAAGCTTGCCTTAGTTAATATCTGCATTATTTTAGGTGTATGGGCCCCAATTTACTTACATGTGAGATAAGCGGGTTGGAATACATGGCCTCTCAGGTTTCTTCTAGCTTTTAATGTATGGTCCTATAATCTATTGGAAAAACTGGGGATCTTTGGTCTGGGGAAAAAAAGACTTGGAAGGAGGAGAGGCAGAGAAGCTATCTTTAAAGGACAATACTGTAGAAATGTTCGTCTTTTTCTGGCTGGACCCAGAGGGAAGAACTAAAGTAGTGAATGAAAGTTGCAGAGAGGCAGTGTTTCCGATACTTGACTGTCATCTAGTTCACACTTGGACTGCAAAGATAGCAAGAAAGATCTTGTCACATGCTTTGCTGAAATCTATGTGTACTATTCATACAGCATTCTTCTGATATCTAGTATCTATATCCAAAGGGGAAATGCAGTGAGTCTATCATGACCAGTTCTTTATCAAGACTTTCTTGGCCTTTCAGCTGCTAATGCCCTTTCTTTCTTAAAAAAAATTGCCTTGTATTTATTTAACATATACATATTTATGCACACGTTGTCTCCTCAGAATGTGTGATGTGGTTCTGGCACTTATTGAGGACAAGGACTTTTTGTTTTTGTATCTCCTGTGGCAAAGACTGAAAGTGCCTTGTACTTCTAGTGCTTGGGGCTAGAGAGAAGGGGAGAGACTTGAAACTGGGAGGTTTCTTCCAAGAGAAGGATCAAGGTTCATCTGGGTCTAAGGATTATATTGTGCCTCAGGTGGTTTTTTTGCGAGCCCTTTCCGCACATGTTGATCCTTGATCCATGTTGCAAGACAGATTGGAAAGGTAGCTAGTATTGCTGCTCTCTAGTTGCATTTAGACTAAGGGAGAGAGAGCCCTGCTCCTAAAGAGCCTATCCCTGCTGAAGCTTCACCAATAATTTCAAGACCACCCGATCTTTAGGAGGAGGAAGTAAAAAGGGGCAACAGTTAGGGAGCATGGTGGTGGTTGTCCCCTTTAGCCTCAGGGATGTGCCAGTAATGGGTTGTATGGCCTATGCCCAGGACCAGGTGAGTAGTGGATGGCAGTCATATCACAGATGTAGGGGCTATGGAATGGGGCCAACAAAGGGTCACAGGGTATAGAGAAGGCAGGCTGAAGGATCATTAGGAGAAGGAAGCATATCCTCTAGATATAGGCTATCTACGTGACAGGTATTTCCTCCAGCTGAAGAAATACAAATTTTTGCAGAGCCCTTTAAATTTTAGTATCTTGGGGAAGAGCCTCAATCATTATCCTAGTTATAACTCTGCAAGGCTGGTTATCAGTGAAGAATTCCCAAGTAGGAAAACCTTTTGTCCGTCTCTTGTGTGTAGTAACTTGTAAAAATGATTGTACATAGAATGTCC